GGAGCCGTAGCAAGGATAGATTTGCTGTGATTACACTGCTCAGAGTACTGCTGTAGATGATTCTAAACAAGTGGATCACTTGAATCTGGAGATCCCCAAAATGTATTGCTTACAGCTATCATTCTAAGCCGATAAAAATAAAATAGTACCAATCCTGTCAACAGCTTGGGCCATATCTATGTCACATACACACTGCAGGGAAATCTGTTTTTGATGCACATCTGACCTGTGGGCTCTGCACACAGATGTTGTGTATACACCAGTCAGTGGTGCAGCATGTAGATGTAATTGATTGGCATACAACTGTGTATCTGGTACATTTCCTCCTTTTAGGTATGAGAGAGGTTTAAAGGCATTTTTTCAGCACTGTGTAGGACCAGCCTGAATGACACTAAAGGTTGCTCAAGGTGGCCATTGAGATGTATACTCATGTTCCCACTGTGTGTGAGATAGTACAGGGGACAGAACTGATCTCTAGAACACTAGTACTGTTCTGAATCTTTGAGGATTAGTTTGTTATAGTATTTTGCATTATAATTAAACTGAAGTAAAGATAGGTATCTTCACCACATTTTTCTGAATAGCTTGGGAATCCTTTGTTAAAGGCAGCATATAAACATAGTGAATAAATAACATGAACAAAACATTTCTCCACTGAAATGTCAGTTGAAGAGGTTTTCTTAAGTACCTATAGTTTAGCTCCATTTGAAATTTGTTCTTAGGTCATTGACTACTCACACAAATCATTAGCCAAGTGATGGTCCCTTGAAACCAGACTGCATACAGGATACTCCTTTTGGCAGAGCACATGAGCTGGCCACCCATAATTCACAGAACAAAAGAAAGAAAGCACTCTAGAAATAGTTGTGAATATAAAAATATTGATGCACAATGAGATACAGTGAAGAGTAGTTATAAACAGAGCGGTGAATATAGCATATAGCAGATATAGCACATTGGGTAAAAAAAAAATCCCAGCATCAAGTATCGACTAATGGAGTCTGAACTTGCTGAGACTGATAGGGAAAAAGATCTTGGGATCATAGTAAGTAGCTCAACGAAAATGTCAACCCAGTGTGCTGCAGCAGTGAAAAAGGCATACTTTATGTTAGGAATTATAAGGAAAGGGATTGAGAATAAAATGGCCGATATTGTAATGCCCCTGTATACCCTGTTTCCCCGAAAATAAGACCTACCCAAAAAATAAGCCCTAGCAGGATTTCTATGCATTTGTGGTATAAGCCCTAGTGTGTCTTCTTGAGAAAAAATAAATATAAGACAGTGTCTTATTTTCGGGGAAACACGGTAGATCCTATGGTGCAGTCTCATTTGGAATACTTTGTACAGTTCTGGTCCCTGTATCTCCAAAAGGACGTTGCAGAGCTGGAAAAAGTACAGAGGAGGGCAACCAGGATGATTAGGGGGCTGGAGCACTTTGCCTATGAGGAAAGGCTGAAGAGTCTGGGACTTTTCAGGTTAGAAAAGGGATTTATAAAATTACGTATGGGGTGGAGAAAGTTGACAAAGATAAATTTTTCTCCCTCTCCCAAAGTACTAGAACTTGAGGGCATCCAATGAAACTGATGGGCAGTGGTTTCAGGATGGACAAAAGGAAATACAACTTTACACAGAGAGTTATTCAAATGTGGAATTCGCTACCAGAAGATGTAGTGTTGGCCACAGGAATAAACAGTCACTCAATGAGCTTCCATAGCACACGTGAGGATTCGAGCCTGGGTTTCCTGTATACTAGTCTGACTCTCCTAACCACTATATCACACCACACTGCAATCCTTTGGCCCCTCCTCCCTCTGTAGCTGCTCCTACTTCTCTTACTTTCTCCATTGAGTCAGCAAGACAATCTGAGAGCTCTGCTTCAGTTTCCTCCTGTATTTCATTATCTTTACTTATTCTGTACTTACCTTTTCTTCCTCTTCCATTATAATCCCATCTACACTTCCACGCTAAACACAAAACAACCTCCTCCCTCCTCCCATTATATCCCTCTCTTCTTCTTGGCCTGCTGATACCAATGCCATGCTGAGGCTATGACCAGTCAGCCTACCCTATCAGATGTCCCTGGAGCAGTGACACAAAATATTGGAGATTTGATTCCTTTCCTCCCCAAGCCATGGGGCAGAAGAGTTGTCCACTTAAATCCCACCTCTACAGAAGACATAGCAGAGTATGCAAGTGGCATTACCAGCCACAGCCTGTCTGATTTGGGTTCTGAAGATGAGGGAGACAGTTATCTTGAGCCCCCCGCAGACACCTCTTGGGGCTGTCCTCAGCAAGCAGTGAGACAGGACACACCTCACTCATCTAGAATTAATCAGGATGGGGCCCAGGAGTCAGAAGAGGAGGAAGTTCCTACCAATATTAGATGCTGGATGAAGCACTATATGAATAAAGACCTGGTCTCTTGGGAGCAGCCAAGCAACGGGGGAGCAAAGGCACAGGAAAGCATCTCGTCTATTGAGATCCACCCCCGTTCTCCCTGCACCAAGTATAGCCAATTATCAGGCTCCCCCAACTCCTCTCCTCCCACTTCAGGCAGATCTTGGCCTGCGAGAGGCCTGTTGCTTCCAGGCCCCACTCCTTGGAGAGCTCCCCTTATAGACATTGGTCCTCCATGGAGAGATACAAGGATATAAATGAGGATTCAGACGGATAGGAGAGTGAAGCTTCCAGTGAGGATTCCATTGACCTAGAGAAGGTTTATTTGCCCCAGATAACCTTCCCCCCCTTATCCTCAAGGTAATGCAGGTTCTAGAACTCAAAGTGTCGAATTTAAAAAAAAAGTCAAAGGGGGAAAAGATAAAGGATCCTTAGGAGGCAAAGACTTATTCAGTTTTCGGCCTCCCCCCATTTTTGACCCTCCTCAAGAGGCTTGAAAAGATCATTCAGGAGGCGGCGGCTGTGATGTGTCCTATATAATTGACTGAGATGTCCCTGGTTGTCAAACTGGGTGGAACTGTCTCTTCAACCTTCTTGGCTCTGTCCTTCAGTTCATTGGAAGAGTCTCTGTCTCCAGACACCCCCAGTTTAAGACATTTCTTGAAGAAGCATTTCTGTCCAGTTCTTGTATGATTCATCTCTTTCAGTCATGTTGACTGAATATGGTGCTCCAGACCTTACCTAGACCTCCCTTTTGAACTGTTAGGAGAAGTATCTTTTAAGTTTCTGACCTTTGAAGTCTTATTCCTGGCAGTCATTATGCCAGGCAGAAGGATGTAGGATCTCAATGCACTCTCCAATATATATCAGGAGACCATCTCCATTTAAAAAGCTGTACTCCTCATTAGTGGCATTTGACCTCATTGCTCAGGGCAAGAAAGATGGCTACATCAAAGTATAGTGGCACCAAAATACAGTGGCAGCCTATGAAGCAAAAGGGTACTTCCTCTTATGAGCATCACAGCACACACACTGTGATGTAAAGCCATACCCACTGCCTTTGACACAAATGTTCCAGTGGAAGACATTTGTAGAGCAGCAATGTGGGCATCTGTGTCTACACCTGTAAGACACTGTAAGGTGGATATGTTGACCCAGCTTTTGAGTAGAGGATCCTAACAGAATGTCCTGTGACATGATTCTGTGTATTATAAGTAGTCCCACCCTGGGATTCCTATATAACTGTTAGACATCCCAACTATCAAAATTATGCCCTCAGTTCCAGATGAGAACAGAACATTGGTCACTTATTGTGAAGATTCGTTCTGTCTGGAATTTGTCTTACCCTGAATGAAGGGAGGACATTCTGTTTTTTTCAACATGGGAGAGCTAATATTCTCTTCACATTTGCCATGATTTCTGTAATTTAGTGTATTGTCTTCTTCCTTGGTTTCTCCTCCAAACTGTTTACCACCTGTTGTGGTTACATTATCAGTGTGGGAGAATGTTCCTCCTTATTTAAATGGGTGTTAGTAGGTTCTCTTGGAACTCTACTTAGTCTCAGAACTAAGTAGAAGCAGCTACATAGAAAGGAGAAGCCAAAGGATTAGAACTTGTTTCCTGCCTCAAAGGTTGATGGGAAAGTCATCAAAATGATGCCCTCATGTTTTGGTAGAGGGAACCTTCATATCAAGTGACCAATGTTCTATTTGTTACATCCAATTGACTTACAACTTCAGTTATAATTCTGAAATCCTGATGGTTAGCCCTTTTGGCATGATGAAATTAGCTCACTGCAGGGAACAGCTATCCAGTGGTTTGGATTTCAAGCAGCTGTTAGTGTGACTACTTAGTTACACAAGCATTTATCTGCCATTCACACACGTTCCATAGTGCAGTGTTACAAATCAGATGTCACATAGAAAGCTTGTTCATGATGCAACTGTGGTTAGATCAGGAAGTCTTCAATCTCAGCTGTGTGTGAGGGAACCGGGAGGGACCATGTGATCTGGAGCATTTCTGGATTATTCAGATCACTAACTGTGGTTTAATGTAGCCCAGGCATCCTAATGTCCAAAATGTTCTTTTAATCCTTAAAACAGAAACTTTGCAAATCAAAATAATCACGACAAAGTTCTGTGAAGCTGCTGAATGAGGCCTCAGATACTTTCCCAAGGAAATGCACCAGACTTTCGTTTCCTGGTTTGCTCCACTGCCCATCATTGCAAGCGTTGTAGTATTTGCTTTACTGTTTAGATGCATGGTGTTCTTGAATTTTCTGTGCCATAGTAATGGATATTTCTTCAATATAAATTTGGTATAAGATGCTTATGGTTGCCATGAACTCTGCACGATAATATACATACACACATCCAGGTGAAATGAGATTTGGAAGAAAAGATGTTGCTATGCCTTAAACTGGAATGGCTCAGTGATGTTCTTTTTGACTTGTTAAGCCCTTTGGTAATTCTCTGTCATTACGCTAAGTATTCACTGGTATGGTTGGGTTAATGCAGTGTGTGGATATCCTGAGATAACACTGATTTGGCACCATAATGAGTTTCCTGAACTGTAAGTGTAATGTTCAATTTCTTTTGTTACAGATGGAAGAGAAACGGCGAAAGTACTCGATCAGCAGTGATAACTCAGACACCACTGACAGTAAGACCTTTAATTCAAGGCTTTGAACAAGATAACTAAACGATTCACCTCCAGCAGGGAAAGCATTTGAATAATTACTTTGCAGACAGCTGGGAAAGCTACATTTCACTGGGTAGTCCCTGAACAATAAATTGTGCTCAGGGTATTGCTTTTCAAAAAAATGTGGTACTGGTGTATAAGAAGTTAATATCTATTTACATACCTCATACCGAGCGCCTTTCATTTGATGTAAATGTCCTTCACTTCCCAGAATAGTGTAGGCAAGAGAAAACCATAAACTTGATAACCAAACTTTAACCCAGACCAAAGCCCTTACTAGACAGCATGTTGCAGACTGTCTTTTCACATGAGAGTGTACCCAAGAGGCAGTTAGATTCAGTTCAAATGAAGCTACTTCATGACTTTGTTCAACAGCTACCTTAAGGTAATCTTTCCGCCTCAGTCACCATCAGTAGAATGTCCAGATTTGGCTCGTTAGGCTGAGGGCAGAATGGGCAAAATAAAAACAATTGCATTTGGGGTAAACTGGAGGAATTTGTTTAGCTCATAGAATGTGCATGGGACCTACAACATGTGCATATGCTGTTACAGGGTACAAATGTAACCAAGCCAGTGGATTGCATCCTATGATTTGTGGACACAAGGATTGTGGATCTTCCCTGCATTCTCTCTCACACACAAACACACGCACACACATGCAGACACAGAGTCCTTTCTAACTCAGTAAGTCTAACCCCTTGGTTACTGAGCATTTCTAACTCAGTAAGTCTAACCCCTTGGTTACCTTAATCAAGCTGCAAGGCATAGCAATTAAAATGGTGTGACAATATACAGCCACTGTCTTCCTGGAAAATGAAGGTCATAGTTGTGTTTATAGATACTCTGCAGGAGAACATTTATCAACAGCTAAAATATCACCTATTGCATAAGTACCAAAGTCCGACAGAGATAAGGCTGTGCTGTTTAATATGTTGATTAAACAGTGAAAACCCTCAAAAGCACTGGTGCAAAACTGCAAGGTATTTGAGGGGTTATGGTAAGACAAGATCCTTGGTCAGCAACTAGGCTGGACCACTTTGACAAGGAGGAAAAGCCCTGTGTCCATCCCTTAGCATAGCCTGCTGTCATCTCAATGTCACATCTGTGGATCATCCAAATTCCCTTTTCGCCTGTGAGGCTGGTAACTGGAGGCCAGATGATACCATTCAAGGGGCCAGATTGGCCTGTGTGCCCCCATGGCTAACCTCTGTAGTAGTAGGAGCTTTTAATACTGGGGAGAAAAGTGGAGTACTCTTAAATAGTACTTAAACTAAAAGTTAATTAGGAAAAAACCCAAATGTAATTAAATATTACATTTAAACAAATTCAAAGTTTGGAAATTACTTTATTGGAATAATACTTTTAAACATTTAAAGCCAAAAGCAGGGTGTACTTCCCTAACATTGTTTAAATTTAAGGACACTTGAAGGTACTGAAAACTAATGACGCACTAATTTCAAATGTGTATTATATGCCATCAAGTTGCTTTTGGCTTGCAGCGACCCTATAAATTAATGATCTCTAGAACAGGGGTGGCCAACCTGTGGCTCAGGAGCCACATGCGGCTCTTTCACACATATTTTGTGGCTCCCAGCAGTGCAGCTGGGGAAGCGAAAGGGAGGCATGCCTCCCCGATTGGTCTTCCCTTCCCCAGCCAGTGTTCCCCTTCCTGCGTAGGCTTGAGGCAGAGGGGAGCAGAAAAAGAAAGCAACTTTAGCTTGAAATGTGTTCTCAAAGGCCCCCACCCCCACCCTACAAATATCATTGGACAAATAAATATCAGTATCCGTATCTATTTTTACCCCTTTTGTTTTTATTTTTGGCAGTCTCATCTAAAGCGATTTTGCATATTTTTAAAATAAAAACATGTCTGTAATGTTTGTTCATGTCATGTGGCTCTCAGACATCTGACGTTTATTCTATGTGGCAAGTTTGGCCACCCCTGCTCTAGAACATCCTATTATTAACAGCCTTGCTCAGGTCTTGTGAATGGAAGTCTGTGGTTTCCTTTATTGAGTCAATCTGTCTCATTCTGGGTCTTCCTCACATTGGGTCTTCCATTAACTTCTTTTGTTAAACTGTGCATGATATGCTGTGGAAGTGGTTGTCCAGTCAGATGAATTAATAACTTGATTTTTTGTTTGGATTATTACATGAATTTGTGGATGTATTTCCCCCTTTCCCATTTTCAAATCAGTAAAATGTACATATGCTCTCTCACACAATTCCTAGGGATAATCACCTGAAAATAACAAATCTGGAATTATCACACTTGCCTAATAATGTATTGGCAGTGGGAACTATTTATTAATATGAAACAAGGAATCTTAAGAAATTGAAAATTTGTCAAAGAAAAATAAACCTCTGGAAAATAGTCCACTTCACATCTCAGCCTAAACATAAGGCAGAAGCGTCACAGAGTAAGACATTTTGCCCTCCTGACTCCAGAATAAAATAGAGCATGTTCTTGGCTGAAAAAAACAAAAGAGACAAAATCACAGCTTAAAAATTATACTTTATGATTTAACTGAAACAAGTCAAGTAACAAGAATATTTTCAGGTTGAAGGATCTGTACCATGAGAGTAATGTCTTTCTCTAGCAGAACACTAACTCTTGTCGTATCTAATCCTTCTTTTATCAAGGAAAGGGGTGAGAAAGAACTTTAAAAAAAATGTAGAGGTGTGCTGTCTGGTTCTGGAGAGGATCATCACAAAGTCTCTTAAAAGGGACATAAACTGTTTTAAGTGGAAAGACAGTGTGATGCGCTTCTCCTGTGGGCTTGGGGGGAACCCACCAGTGGCCGTGGCGCCTGGCTTCCCTGCCGGGTAGACGATGCTGGGAGTCGGAGGTGGATTGCCACAGGGAGCTGTGGAAGGACCTCAGACAGGCAGGGGATGGGGTTAATGGTACCCCTCAAGTCCCTCTGCCTCATGTGCCAGATACGGCTCCCTTTCTCTCTCTATCCTTCACCTTTGCAGTTTCACTTCCTCGCACGCTGTTCCTCCCCGGTCTCTCCGAAGAGCTCCTCTTTTATTTCCCCCCTCCACTCCCGGCGCTGCCCCTCCTCCCTGCCTCCCTTCCTCCCATCCTGGCCCCGCCCTCTTTTATATACACAGACGCTTCCCATGCTTGGCCTCAGCTCTCCCTTGGGGGGCTGGAGCCCCGGTTCCTGGGGTTGGCATGATGCAACGATCGCTGTGATGGTCTTGCCCTGCCGGCGTTGCAACTGCCGTCCGAGCGGCTGGGCGTCGAGTCACTGTGCCGTGTCCCCTTCGGGGCCTGCGGTGCCATCGCTTCTCCATTCCTCTGCTGCCGTCGGGGTGAGTCGAGGCTAGGGGTGTGCAAAATAAATTTTTTTGGCTGATTCGGATTCGTCTGAATCAGGCAGAATCAATTTTGGCCGGCAGTAAGACTCCCGCATGTCAGTTTCATCAGTAGGAGCCAATTGGGGAGTCTTGGCCAGCCGAATGTCAATTTCAGCCCCATTATATCCTATGGGCCATTGAAGTCAATGGCAAAAACATAGGGTATATTCTGGGGGCTGGAGGGGAGGGGGCTTGAGGGAGAGGCTCCAAACATAAAATAAATGCTTGGGTGCTGTCTGCTTGCCTGCCTTAAGTGCTGCTGGCTGGATTTCCCCATTGGAAACAATGGAGGTAATGGGGGTAGCCTGTTTGGGTGCCCATAGAATTGAGCCCACTGGTCCAATTGCTTTGAGACATGGGGGATTATGTGGGGAGAGGCTCCTGAAGCTACCCTGAAAATTTGGAGCCTCTCCCTCAAACCCCCTCCCCCCCCAGAGCCACTAACAGCACCATGGGATAAAATAACCTTTTTTCCCTACCATAGAGAACAATGGAGGGGATGGGGGCAACCTGTTTGGGGGCCCGTAGAATTGGACCCCCGGTCCAATGTTTTTGAAACTTGCTGGGTATCTTGGGGAGAGGCTCCAGCATCTATCTTGCAAGATTGGAGCCTCTCCCTCAAATCTCTTCCCCTCCAGCCTCCAGAATATACTCTATGTTTTTGCCGTTGACTTCAATGGCCCATAGGATATAATGGGGCCGAAATGCCGCCGAATTTCAGCAGCAAGCCGATTCAAATCAGAGAATCTGAATCGGCCAGCAGCAGCCCGAAAAGGCCCAAATGAGCCATTTTCGGGGGTGCATTCGGTTCGGACGAACCGAATGCACACCCCTAGTCGGGGCGTGGGGGCGTCTCCGGGTGTGGGGGGTCCAGTCCTGTGACTGGGAAACCGGGACAGACCTTTTAAAATACATTTAGGAGCCATCAACAAACGGATGGTTTATCAAATACCCCTCTCTAGCATCTTAAATCAAATTGGACAGAGGTGATATAATTAACAACAATTTGCAGTCTTTGGCTGTCTGGAACCTGTAAAATGCACTCATTCTGTGACCGGCTGTACAGGGCACTTGGCACTTCTTGCAAAGTGTTCTCTGTGACCAATGAAGTAAAGGACTTGTTGAAGACACTTAAGATCCCACAAGAGCTCTTGCCAGACTGCTTCACTGAAGACCTTGCGTTTTCACTATATCTAAAAATGTTCATAGTTGTCACTTGGTAATCATTTCTAGCAACACTCCACTCAGACTTCTCTTCCATTACTGTTGTTATATCAGCACAGATTCTACCTTGTCACTGAAGACGGTGTTTGAAGTTCTGTTCTCTACAGCCTTAGACAGATACAGCAAGGCCATTGTTATAATCAAAGTGATTCTAAAACAATCTTTGTTCATTTCAAGTCTTTCCCCAATACTCTCTTTTAGAACTTCAAGTACAGCTTAATGTATTGTGATGGAGAGTTTTGGGCTTGTTGCTTTTTCTGCTATAGCCACTATCAGTGTAGTGTAGTGGGTTATCTGGGAAAATCTGAATCAGCATTTTTTGTATTCAAATTTAAATAGATAATTGAAATAGTTAAATAATGTTAGCAAAA